GAAATAAGTTGGTTGTTGGCAATAAGATCTGTGCTATCAGCGAAGCGTAAATGATTTTGCTGCTCACCGCTGATCTTCAGGTCACCTTTTCAACCCAATTTCCCAAATATCGTTTCGAAGCAAGTGGTGAAAAGCTTGGGCGATATGGGATCACCGTCCCTTACTCCTTTTTTGATCGGTATGCGAATTGAAATAGAAAAAATTGTTATGTCTGTCAAGCAATTTGTGTTTGCTTCCTTAAGAATTTCCACATAGTCCCCGTCAATCCCTGCGTTTACAAGCACTTGCAGCAAAACGTTCAGCTCTAGGCTACCGAATGCTTTTTCATAATCGACAAAGAGGATATTATTATTCCCTTGCACGTTTCAGCAGCTCGTTCAGAGCGAAAATGTGACCTATAGTGCTGAAATTACTCCAGTTTTGTAAAATATATTTTTGTGTGTATGTGACAAGATGTGCACATGTGTCTTCATTTTACACGTACACACAACTGTATTTTTTTTTTTTTTTTGCATTAGTTATACAGCGCAAAAGTAGCGCATGTTTAAAGTTTTAATGTGTCACTGCATTATCTGTTTTTGCAACAAAGAATTAGTTTTGTGTTCAGGAATCCCTAAAAGAACTTCATTTAGAGATGCAAAATGAAACGATTGAACTTTGGCCACAAGCAGGCTCTTGCACTTCTTGCATCGTGGTGCAACCCTGCAGATGTGATAGACTGCAGTCTGAAATTTTATTTCAGGCCTGAAGATTTACGTGTTCTTTTTGAGCGAATTGGTCCGGTACGTGATGTGTACATTCCGCTGGATTACTACACACGTGAATCACGTGGCTTTGCTTATGTAAAGTGAATATTTTCACTGATTATGATTCCTTAGACTATGTTTCTTTGGTTGTGTTTAGACAGGCAGACCACTTGCAAACCCATAGCTTCAGAAATACACAACTTATTGGAAGTCGCACAACTTTTTTAATTAAGTAAATGCAAGCATCGTTATGGCAGGAGGCCTCATCCTACACTTATTTTAACATCACAATCAGCGTAGGATTAAAGGTTACTGCTAGCAGAATAACGCATTACTGGATACAACGAAGACACCCACTCAAAATTTTTCTGTTCCTAGTTATTTTAAATAAGTTTTTTACACGGTCCATGTCTTGCCTTCCCAATGTTAGTTTCAACCTGAGAAAAGTACAGGTCTGCAAGTTTTGGGATCTTGTTTTTAGATATGAATCGTGGCGGGACGCGGAGAATGCAATACGGAAACTCAATGGCACAAGCGTATTCGGCAGACGAATTGAAGTTGAGTGGGCCGAAGGTCAACGGAAAAGTTGCTTTTTATGATTATTTAGACTCTTTACAAATTCAAAATGCTGTACAAAAGTGTTTTGAAAGTATGCATTCACCAAGCTCACTTGACCATCGAACGATACCATTCATTTTAGCTGAAGATATCCATGCTGCTTCTGGGTTTTGGATATTCCCGGAAAGCAACTGAAGAAGCACTATTTCGCCTGTCACTCGTACACGCCACTGCTGTACATTTTACATCCTCCCAAGTTTGTGCACCCACCTTAGTCAACTTCATTCCTCTTCCAGTTCGACTCCACCCCTCTTGACTTATTTTCATGCATTTTGCGTTGCAACAGCGGCGCAAAACGCATACTGTCGAGACTCTGTCTGTGTGTGTATGTAGTTTTTTGCTCGGCGTTCTCAGCTCAATAACCAGAAAGCTGGCTTAAATTCTAAGAGGACATTTGCTGGTAACGTTGTTGTGTGCATAGCTGCTTAACCTTTTCTTATTACCAACCGCTAATCAGGCTGATATTGGTTCGTACCACGCAAACCTCCAAACTTAGACGGGCAACATTCTTTTCTGGGAAATCGATAAAAATCATGCCACGTCTTCGATCTGTTTTAGACATGGCGAAGGACCGAACACATCGCAACCTGGAGAGATGGAAAAACGATTTTGCTCGGCATTGAAGAGGGACAAAGGAACGCTGGCGGAGTTGGGTTTTTAGTCAGCAGGCAGTCAAAATCAAAAGTCAAAAGCCCCTCTGTATTTCGCTCTTAGTGATAAGCAAAGGCGCTCGAGAAGTAGCCCGAGTGGTAGCAAGTGCCAACAGCAACCACTTGCTGACAAGGCTATCGAAGCAGTGGCGGGTTTGACTGCCTGGCACATGTTAGTACCAATTTATCATCGAAATGGGTCGTTGATGGATTGGTAGACCTGCGGGCAGAGTCGAACCTCAGACTTGCTATACGACAACAATGCTATCTCATTGCACTAGGCCTCCTAGCGTTAGCGGGCAGTAGTTGCCACAAATCATCTCTTATCAGCTTTACTGGTCAGGGATCGCCGTATTCCGCCTTAGGTTTGATTCTAGTAAAACCGTCAAAATCACCGGTAGGTAAGTGACCACTTAGGCGACCTCCAAAAACGTGGTGCGCATACATCAAACAAGCAGCGGGTAATTATTAGAGGTATACATACCATGATCGAAGAGCCTAGCGTAGCTGCATGTGAAAGCATTCCACGACATCACTAAAATGGTATACCCACACTGATAGCTCAGGCGGTTTCGGTATTTCCTGTTAAATTCAGTTTTTTCATATGTTGAGGCCTTATGCACGAATATGTGCAAGTTTTGCCAGGAAATTTTCTGATTCAGGAACCAGGCAAGATGGAAAGTTAAAGTTTTAGAAGGCAACATGTATAAATATTTCTGACTGCATGATCTTATGCAGTAAAGCTGATAGCACTCAAGTCCATCTGGAGATGCAAAGTCTTATGCAAAGTCTTTTGGTCTGCGAGACAGCTACTGCCGTTTTAATTTGGTGCCTTGACAAAATGTGACAACTAGTTGAACTTCGTCTTAACTGAAAAGTTTTCTCGTGGTTTTGAGAGCTGGAAATATAGCAAATTTATTGCAGCGAAATCGGAGATGCGTCTGCGAGAATACTATTTCGCACATGGTCAGTTTGGACGGTGAGATGTTTTTGCTTTTATACTTTACAGTATTACATTTGTGTCAAAAAACGCATTACGTCAAGATTTTGCGTGCGTGCGTTTTTGCATGTGTGTTTGTCTGCCTGTTCGTGTCTGTTTATGTACTGTATAATACACAAGCTATAAAGCAAATAGCTTCCGATTTCCTTTTAAGGACGCAAATCTAAAGCGAAATCTCTCCCTGCTTCTTTCCAACTTTCAAATTCCGGCTAAATTTATCACTCTAACTCGCTAATTTTGTCAAATGGCTCAAGCAACCAAGAAAGCCATGAACATGAATACTGAAGGAGTATTTCACCGTGAATTGCGAGTTAATTCACTTTGGCCAGTTCTGGACTTCACTGTAATCTGATTCGTGAATCCAGTCCCAAATTTAGCCTCATTCTACACTCGAGTTTGTATTCATTTGCACAGTGGCCACGAAACAACTTTCAAGTTTTGACATTCGTTGAATTTCGACTCATGTCCATGATTGGTCCAGTTACATGAATTAAAAATCATTGCGACGCGCACGGGGCTTGCCCGTGCAATCATGCGTTTTTGTAATATTTCGTGCCGTAGTGAGATTCGCTCGGAAACTCAGTAGCTAAAAATGTGTGATATACTAGTCCTCGAAGCCTGGGAAGTTAATTGTCTATGCGATAGTTGGACAGGGAACATTTCGTTGAAATTTCAGCTTTCCAAATTTTCTTCTTGAGTTAGCAATAGCAATTTTCCTGCCAAAAATATTGACGAGGCCGTACCTGACAACCACGCATGGCCGTGGGAAAGGGGGAGGGCTGAGTTTTATAAATTTAAGGCATACATGGGCTGGAGACATTTCCTGAAAATTTCAGCCTCCGGGCTTTTTTGGTCCCCGAGTTATCCATTTCCGCGCCAAAAACTTTCACGAGGCCATACGTGAAAACCACTTGCACTGGAAGGCTGAATTTGTTAAATTTAAATTGTACTTGAGCTGGTAACATTCCTTTAAAATTTCAGCCTTCCAGCTTTCATGGTTCCTGTGTTAGCACTTTCTGCGCCAAAAAAATTCACGGAGCCGTATGTGATAACCACGGTTGCCTGCGGGCTGATTTTGTTAAATTTAAGTTGCGCGTGTGCTATGAGCATTCCCTGAAAATTTCAGCCTCCCAGCTTTCCTGGTTCCTGAGTTAGCCATTTTCGTGCCAGAAATTTTCACGGGGCCGCACGTGAGTACCACACACAATTAGGGCTGAATTTGGTTATTTTAAGTTGCACATGTGCCGGGAACATTTCCTGAAAATTTCAGCTCCCTAGCTTTCCTGATTCCCAAGCTAGCGATTTTCGCGCCGGGAACCCTTGCGGGACCATACGCTGGAAGCACGCATGCCTGCGGGCTGAATTTGAAATCTTTGAGTTCCATGGAGACGGGCGACATAACTTCAAAATTTCAGCTTTCTAGCTTTTCTGGTTCCCGAGTTAGCAATTTTTCCGCCAAAACCTTCACCCCCTCGTACGCGGGGGCCAGACTTGCATGAGGGTTGATATCGCGGTCCTGGGGTAGCACTTGTCCGGTGAACCCGCCAGCAAAATTTTAGCGCCGGAGCTTGCTTGGGTGCCGAGTTGAAATATCAGAACGGACGCACAGACACAGACACAGACACACACACAGACACACACACCGGGGTCGTCACAATATGTGTTTTTGCATATATGCAAAAACGCATAATAAGGTGAATTATAAGCTCGAAATTTTTGGGTTTATTTCGCCTCATAATGGAAACTGAACGAATCAAAATCGGGCTTCAAAGCTTCCTGTTCCCTGTCCCATGAACTGAAAAACACCGTACATCAAAAATTTTCTTTATGTCTATATGTTCATTAAGTCACAAAGTAATGAGGGAGAGAACGGCGGCGGTCTGACTGAAGAGCGAGGTGGTGGGGAGCAACGGTAAAAACAACTCGCCAAAGCACGCACCCGCATCAATTCCTTGTTATGCACTGCTATCTATTTTCAATAGTTCAGTGATGAGTAACACAGGGGGCATATGATTTGCACATATTCACAAAATGACGCAAAAGCAAATAGAGCACGAGAATATGACGCAATGAGCTTTCGTTAAATTATTCACTGAAAACGGGCCTTGAAAAGTATAGCTGATTGTCGAAGAATGCAGCAAATGTATGCTCCCAAAAGCACTGGCCAGCATTCATTCAGATCTGTAGTAACAAAAACTTAGTCGAAAGCGTACCGGCTGCCGGTACGAGAATGCGTTTTTGCACAGTTCCCCAGCAGGCTTTTTTCGCCAGTGGCACGCACTTTCTGGCAGATATTTCTAGCTAAAAGAATTGTGACTGGCCACCATGACTGTTAGAAGTTATTACAATGACTCCCACCCAGTCCATACCCAAAAAATTCAGCGCTCTGGATGTTTCGGTTGCGGAGTTACGCCAAATTTCACGTATTTGTACGTGAGTAGCTGCGTGAGTGTTTTCTTTGCTTGAGGTTACTTAGAGACGGCCCTAGGTAGTGCTCAAAAAGTTTCAGTACTCAAGCTGCGCTGGTTGCAGAGTTACGTCAAATTTCGCGTGTTCGTACGTGAGTGGCAGGGTGAGTGCTTTCTTCGTCCACGGTTGGTCAAACACGGTCCTGGGTAACGCTCAGAAAGTTTCAGCATACCAGCTGCTCTGGTTGCAGAGTTACGTCAAATTTCACGTGTTCGTACGTGAATGGTAAAGTGAATGCTTTCTTCGCTTGCGGCTGCTCAAACACGACCCTAGGTAACGCTCGGAAAGTTTCAGCACCCCAGCTACTCTCACGTGCTCGTACCTGAATGGCAACGTGAATGCTTTCTTCGCCCGCGATTACTTAAACACGGCCCTGAGTAATGCTCAGAAAGTTTCAGCACTCCAGCTGCTCTGGTCGCGGAGTTACGTCAAGTTTCGTATGTGTACACGTGTTTGTACGTGAGATGCAGAAGAACTGACAAGTAATTTACTTCCACGGACAAAACAGTAGGTAACAAGTAATGCTGCAAAACTACAGCTCCCTACAGCTTATTAGTCACCTTAAATTTGGAGTTGGTACGATGCCAGTTCAAACTTTGACGTGTACGTACGTGAGTCCTGAGGGTGCGTAAAGGCTGAATTTGAAATCTTTGGATTAGACGCGGCCAAGGAACAACTCTGTGAAGTTCCAGCCTCCAGTATGGGCGTTCCCGAAAACGCTGTCCCGCCAAAAAAACTTTCACGTGCCCCCACGTGAGAACCACACGGACCTGAACGTCCATTTTGAGGATACGAGCCCGCACGCTTGTGCAGATTAAGTCACCAAATTTTCAGCCTTGTAGCTTTTGTGGATCTCGAGATG